GAAGACAAATGAACTTAAATATGAAACAGAAACAGAGTCACAAACATAGAATACAAACTTGTAGTTGCCAGGGGGAGGGGAGAGGGAAGGGATAGACTGGGAGTTCGAGATTTGTAGATACTGACAGGTATACATAGAATAGATAAACAAGTTTACACTGTATAGCACAGGGAAGTGTATTTAAGGTCTTGTAGTAGCTCACGGTGAAAAACTATGAAAATGAATATATGTACATTCATGTATGACTGAAAAATTGTGCTCTACACCAGAAATTGACACAACGTTGTAAACTGACTATAACTCAATTAAAAAAAAAGTTTAAGAAACAAACTGGATACGATGGGAATATGAGCCATGTCTTGATATTTACATTAGGATCTTGTTGCTTATGTAAGATGCAAGCGGAAGCAGTGAATTCACTCTTGGTGCCCCAGCTCCTCTCTCGAAGATGGGGGTTCTTTTGTGAGCACCACTAACTGCATTGGAAGAGCCTCTCCAATCCCACACTCCAAGTGGATAATTGCTTCAGAAAATAGTGGCTAACCTCTCATATAGCAGATTAAAGCACAGGTCTTTACCATCAGATTGTTTTCAGTTTAAATGTTGCTTGCCCTGTAACTGTCCTACTTTCACCGCCAGAATCACTTGAAAAGAAAACAACAACAATGAAAAGACTTCCCAAGCAGGGACTCAGAATGTAGTTCTCAAACATCCCCCATCCCGCCCCCACAGGCTCCTGGAGATTCTATTTTGTGGCAGAGAAAGAAGGGGAAATGGTAGATTTCATAGATGAGGGCAATTCCAGTGCTCTCGAAGAGTAATGGTGATAATGTGTCAGTCTGGCTCCAAAAGAAACAGGTGCAATGATGGGCACGGCTCACGTGGGTCGGAGCACTGAGCCAAATTCCTGAAGCCAGGAACCCTCTTCACACACCTTGTTTCGAAACACACGGCTCATCCAGGAGTGCTGACTGTACACGCTCAGCCACACCGAAGGCTGCCTCATGCTTGCCAATTTAATAGTGATATTATGGACATAAATATAACAGTTACTAAAACGAACATTTTCAACACCCTTCCAGACAGCTTGACTTCAATTCCAGGGTTGGTTATAGAGCAGCCCTTGAACTGGGCAACTGCAGATCTGATGCACGTGTCTGGCACCAGCCAATATGAATACTTCAGTGAGGTTGCCTGATAAACACCACACAGTTTGAACTTTTAGAACAAGATCTCAGAACTGAACCCAACAAGACTGTGTGGGGAATTTAGATGCTGCTTCTAATAGTTAGACCCATCACCAGTCTGGCTCTTATTATGGCCATCTCGAAGTAAAAAGATAAAATTCCACACATACACCATTTCCATGCAAATACAGACCAGTCGTGGGCTGTTAAATGCAGTGTTTTAGCAATTGTGGTGAAGGCAGGGAAGAGCCTTCCCACACAGGAATTCTTGATTCTGCCCCCTTTCTCACCAGCCTCAGGGTACTGCACATACCATCCCTTGCCAGGAGGACAAATCAGTTACAGGAGCTGTGGTCCGCCCAAGGAAACTTTTTTTTTTTTTTTTTTTTTTTTTTTTGCTAGAAAGGGAGGAAGCTCTGCCTTCAGTGTCGATCCTTACTGAGAGTTAATGAGTCCCAACCACAATGTAAAAGAGGACTATCAGTCCCAGTATCACATAAATGTGGTGTCTCAGGATGCGCCCATCTGGGCCAGATGCCGCCAAGAGTTTCACAGAGTTCCAGGCAAGATGCAAGATAGTCTCCGTGTTCCAGGAAAAGAATCTGCTTCCCAGGGAGCTGGCAAGCATGTAACGGAAAAGGAGCCCATCCGTTCTTGATGGGACCAGCACGCATGGACCAAAGCCACTTTGCACATTTGAGCTGCCGCTCTCCAGACGCGAGCTAATCCTTCCAGTGCGCACGCATCCCGAATTTGGAGCCTCTCCCTTCATGGTTCTAATTTGAAAACCAGCCTCAGCAATTTTCTGATGTTTGGGCTCTACTGCTGCTGTCCAAAGCACCTCACCTAAACCTTCCAAACATGAGCAGGGAAATGAACCAGTTCAAAAACTCTTGATCCGGGGACTTGAAGCTTCAGTTCATTGCCTGATTGTAGACACTGACCCAATTACCACACGCCTCAACCTTAGCAAATACGCAGTAATTCACTCAGACATAACTGAGCACATACTTTTTTCAGTGTACTATGTTTAAAGTTATTAGAAATATACAAACGAATTAGCCATGAAGACCAGCTCTTCAGGAACTTACTGCCTGGTCAGGGAACCCACAGCTTTCATCTGCCAAGCCCTTGCTGTGTCAGCCTTCTGCTATTCATTTAGTCCTTACAGTTTCTCTCTCAAAGAGAAAGCCCTGTTTTACAGATGAAAAAAAAAAAAACCCCAGGACAAGAGGCAGGGCAGGGACTGGCATAAGAGAAGAGGCACCCAGGGCACAAAATGTGAGGTAGCCCACGGAGAGCTCACCCGCAAGTGCAGAGAAAGGGCCAACCCCGCACCTGCAGGCCCTGGGAGGTAGGGCCACCTAAGTCGTGTGCCCCAGGCGCCTCCCTCCATTCTGGTCCTGGCAAGGGGACTTAGGTGATTTGACAAGTGCCATTCAGCTGGCAAGTGGCAGCATTGGGATTCAAACCCACAACTCTTCCACTAGCACCAAAAC